TGAGGCTTCACTGGAAGCTGAGTAGATGCCAGCACCTGCACAGCCTGCAAAACTGTGAGCCAATTAAACCTCTTTTCCTAGTCTCATGTATTTCTTTACAGCAATGCAAGAACAGCCTAATACAGTTAACAGTAATTTATGTTATATTTCAAAATAGCTAGAAGAGATTGAAATGTTCTAAATACAAAGAAATGATACATATTTGAGGTGATAGATATCCAAAATTCCCTGATTTGATAATTACACATTGTATGCATGCATCAAAATATCACATGGACTCACCCCATAAATAAGTGCAATTGTTGTGTGTCAGTAAAAATGTTTTGCCCGGGTGTGGTGGCTTATGCCTGTAATTTCAGCACTTTCGGAGGCCAAGGCTGGTGATTCACTTGAGCCCAGGAATTTGGGACCAGCTTGAATAACATGGCGAAACCCAGTCTCTACAAAAATTACAAAAATTAGCTGAGTGTAATAGCTGAGGTGGGAGGATCACTTGAGCCCAGGAGGTGGAGGTTGCAGTGAGCAAACATCTCACCACTGCACTCTAGCCTGTGTGACAGAGCAAGACCCTGTCTCAAAAAAAAAAAAAAATGTTTTAATGGTAAATTACATTTGAATGTCAGTTAAAATGGTGACAGTGATTATTCCATAGTCCTTTACTACTAAAATGGGATATCTGGTGAGTGGAATGGGTGCCCCCCGGGAGCGTTAGAAATGCAGAATTAGGGTCTACCCCCAACCTACTGAATTAGAATTTGCAGTTTAACAAGAACTCCAGGTGATTCTTATGCACATTAAGGTTTGAGATGCTCTAGCTGAGGTGACTCAGTACAATATCCTTAAAACACTCTAGATGAAGCAATTTGCTATTGTGAACTAGGAACAAATTGACATCAGTACTCATAAGCACAGAAAATAAAAGTTCAAATATAAGAACAGTGGGCAAAAATCAGAAAAGTTTGAAATGCTGTAATGTGAGCATAATGCAATAGATACAGGAGAAGAAAAGAGATTATTTTAGGCCGGTACAGTGGCTCACGCATGTAATTCCAGCACTTTGGGAGGCCGAGGCGGGCAGATCACGAGGTCAAGAGATCGAGACCATCCTGGTCAACAAGGTGAAACCCCGTCTCTACTAAAAATACAAAAATTAGCTGGGCATGTTGGTGCGCGCCTGTAGTCCCAGCTACTCAGGAGGCTGAGGAAGGAGAATTGTCTGAACCCAGAAGGCGGAGGTTGCGGTGAGCCGAGATTGCGCCATTGCACTCCAGCCTGAGTAACAGGAGCGCAACTCTGTCTCAAAAAAAAAAAAAAAAAAAAAATTAGCCCGACGTGGTGGCATGTGCCTGTAGTCCCAGCTACTCAGGAGGCTGAGGTAAGAGAATTGGGGAGGCGGAGGTTGCAGTGAGCCAAGCTCGGGATATTGCACTCCAGCCTGGTGACAGAGCGAGACACCATCTCAAAAAAACAACAACAAACAAGAGATTATTTTTTCAGTCAAGTTTAAGTGGAATGAGACTTACCCGATGGCCATTGTATCACACCCTAACATCACATTCATGATTACGTTCAGTAATATTAAGTTCCTTACAGCATATAAAAGTGCTGTTTAAAACACCAAAAGCATTGGCAACAAAAGCCAAAATAGACAAATGGGACCTAATGAAACTCCACAGCTTCTGCACAGCAAAAGAAACAGTCTCTAGTGTGAATCGGCAACCAACAGAATGGAAAAAAATTTTTGCAGTTTACCCATCTGACAAAGGGCTGATATCCAGAATTTACAAAGAACTCAAACAGATTTACAGGAAAAAAACAAACAAGCCCATTCAAAAGTGGGCAAAGGATATGAACAGACACTTTACGAAAGAAGACATATATGACGCCAACAATCATATGAAAAAATGCTCATCGTCACTGGTCATCAGAGAGATGCAAATCAAAACCACATTGAGATACCATCTCACGCCAGTTAGAATGGCGATCATTAAAAAATCTGGAGACAACAGATGCTGGAGAGGATGTGGAGAAAAAGGAACACTTTTACACTGTTGGTGGGAGTGTAAATTAGTCCAACCATTGTGGAAGACGGTGTGGCGATTCCTCAAGGCCTTAGAAATAGAAATCCCATTTGACCCAGCAATCCCATTACTGGGTATATATCCAAAGGACTATAAATCGTTCTACTACAAGGACACATGCACACGAGTGTTCATTGCAGCACTGTTTACAATAGCAAAGACCTGGAATCAACCCAAATGCCCATTGATGATAGACTGGATTGGGAAAATGTGGCACATATACACCATAGAATATTATGCAGCAATCAGAAATGATGAGTTCGTGTCGTTTATAGGGACATGGATGAATCTGGAGAACATCATTCTCAGCAAACTGACACAAGAACAGAAAATGAAACACCGCATATTCTCACTCATAGGCGGGTGATGAAAAATGAGAACACATGGACACAGAGAGGGGAGTACTAAACACTGGGGTCTATAGGCGGAAAAGGGGAGGGCCAGTGGGAGGGGGAGTTGGGGAGGGATTGCCAGGGGAGAAATACCAAATGTGGGTGAAGGGGAGAAAGCAAACAAAACACACTGCCCTGTGTGTACCTATGCAACTGTATTGCATGCTCTGCACATGTACCCCAAAACCTAAAATGCAATAAAAAAAAGTGCTGTTTAATAAGTCTTCACGAGCAAAGATGGAATAATCAGTCAAACATTCAAACGGATTAATCCTTAAGTAGGAAGACGAATCTGGTGCCACTAGTGACAGCCAACATGAAAGTTAGATGAACTGCTGTAAACCTATCGGATAAGGCCATGACTTCCCCTCTCTAAGATTTTAATTCTTAACTGAAACATTTGTAGTGGGTGGAAATGAAGTTTTCTCATTCATATTTTAATGAGATCTTACAGTATATTTTATGCCAATCATTCTAAAGTATTTTAAGACTCATTGATTATTAATTATTAATTATGCTTGTTGCCTCAGCCTCATTTTGTGAGAATAGAAATACTAATAACTTGCAATGTTGCCCCAGCCAGTGTTCATTTAAAAACAAATACATTGGTTTTTTTGAAACATTATTTATAATAGACCATAGTCTCCAGTTGTCATGTTTGTGGTGAAACTGCTTAAAGTACATACATATCCCAAAGTTGGAAGTGAAACGCTACAGTCAGCATTTTACCTTGGGAAGGTTATACCAATTTCTGTGAGCAAGCTTATTTGCTTTATAACAGTGAAACTGGACCAGCATAGAAAGCTATTTGGCTAAATGTATTGCTTGAATTGATCTGTTTCATCATAGAACTCTTCCAGGCAGCAAACTTAGATAACTACTTCTTTAAGGGAAATTAAAGCAGGCTGTAAAAAAAGGCATACAGAAGGCATTAAAAACAGACACTTTATGAAAGAAGACATAGGAATGTCCAAGAAGCACATGTAACAGTGCTCATCATTGTTAGTCATCACAGAGGTTGACTTAAGACCCAATTGAGATACCACTATGTGGCTAAAATTTTGAAAAGCCAACAATGCCAAGTAATGGCAAGGATGTGGAGCAACTAGAATTTTCTTGAACTGCTGGTAGGAGTGTAAAATGGTACAACATGGATCACCTGTGATCAGGAGTTTGAGACCAGCCTGGCCAACATAGTGAAACCCTGTCTCTACTAAAAATACAAAAATTAGCTGGGTGTGGTGGTGCATGCCTGTAGGCCCAGCTACTTGGGAGGCTAAGGCATGAGAATCCGGGAAGTAGAGGCTGCAGTGATCTGAGATCATGCGAAAGTGAGACTCCATCTCAAAAAAAAAAAAAAAAAAACCCAAAAAACAAAAAACACTCAGATCAAGGTATAGAACATTTAGAGCAGCCTAAAATGTTCCCTCATGGCTCCCTCCCCAGTCATTGCCACTCCCCAGCATAGAGACAGCCACTCCCCTGAGTTCTATCACCATACATTAGTTTTACACATTCTTGAACTTCACTTAAATGGAATGATACAGTATGTACTTTTTAGTGTCTGTCTTCTTTCACTTATTGTTATGTCTGTGACTCATCCACATGGTTGGATGCGATGGGAATTTGTTCTTTTTTTGTTGCTGCATAGTTTTCTATTTGTATGAATATACCGTACTGCATTTACCCATTGTCCTCTTGAACGTTTGAGACGTTTCTGGGTTTTGGCTCTCATGAATACAGCTGCTTTAAACATTCTTGTGTAAGTCTCTGCACAGACATGTGCACCATTTTCCTCAGGTCTATATATCTAGCAGTTGGATTTTTGGGTTATGGGATGGCATGCGTTTGGCTTCAGTAGATAATGTGAAACTGATCATTTTGTAAACAGATTTGTGTTTAATTCAATAAATGATAATGATAACTCAGGGGCATTTCAGTAAGAGCTGGCTGTCCTGCTTGTCTTTCTCACCCACTTGACTTAAAGCTCCATGGTGGCATGAATCATATCTGTCTTCTTTTAAAACCTTTTTATTTTTAAAAAATTTTTTCGGCTAGTCAAAATGAAGCAGAGAGAGTGGAGAAAGAACAAAGACATCTGTAGCTGATTGTGATCACTTCGTTGTAAACACCACTGCAGTCGGACTAGCCTATCTTCTTCAAGTAGTGCAGTGTATGCGGTACCTATTTGTTGAAAAAAAAAAAAAAAAAGAGTATATGCTGGGTATGGTGGCTCATGACTGTAGTCTCAGCACTTTGAGAGGCCAAGGTGGGAGAATCGCTTGAGCCTAGGTGTTTGAAACCAGCCTAGGCAGCAAAGTAAGATCCTGTCTCTATAAAAATATTTTAAAATTAGCAGAGCAGGGTGGTGTGTGCTTGTAGTCCCATCTATTAAAGAGGCTGAGGTGGGAGGCTTGCTTAAGGCTGGGAGGTCGAGGCTACAGTGAGCCATCATTGTGCCACTGCCCTCCAGCCTAAACGATAGAGTGAGACCATGTCTCAAAAAAAGAAGAGTATAAATGCCGAACCCTCCGGTGTCCCGACCCAGGTTAAGAGTGAGCATGGCTGAGCAGGAGCCCACAGCTGAGCAGCTGGCCCAGATTGCAGCAGAGAATGAGGAGGATAAGCACCCAGTCAACTACAAGCCCCCTGCCCAGAAGAGCATCCAGGAGATCCAGGAGCTGGACAAGGATGATAAGAGCCTGCAAAAGTACAAGGAGGCCTTGCTGGGCCGCGTGGCTGTGTCTGCAGACCCTAACGTCCTCAACATCGTCGTGACTGGCCTGACCCTGGTGTGCAGCTTGGCCCCGGGACCCCTGGAGCTGGACCTGACAGGTGACCTGGAGAGCTTCAAGAAGCAGTCGTTTGTGCCGAAGGAGGGCGTGGAGTACCAGATAAAAATCTCTTTCCGGGTGAACAGAGAGATCGTGTCTGGCATGAAGTACATCCAGCACACGTACAGGAAAGGCATCAAGATTGACAAGACTGACTACATGGTGGGCAGCTATGGGCCCCAGGCCGAGGAGTATGAGTTCCTGACCCCCGTGGAGGAGGCGCCTAAGGGCATGCTGGCCAAGGGCAGCTACAGCATCAAGTCCCGCTTCACAGAGGACGACAAGACTGACTACCTGTCCTGGGAGTGGAACCTCACCATCAAAAAGGAGTGGAAGGACTGAGTCCTGGCTGGAGGCGGACAGGGCAGACGGATGGACGGACGGACGACGGACAGGTGGATGTGTCCTCCAGCCCCTCCCCTCCCCACAGGCCCAGCCTCCTCAGTGGTCTCGTGTCTCGTTGCTGCTTCTGCCTGTGCTGTGGGGGAGAGAGGCCCCGGCCAGGCCTCTGCTGCCCTTTCCGTGCCCCCCAGGTCCTATCTCCCCATCACACCTGAGGCCTGGCCTCAGGAGGGAGTGGAGCAGCCCAAGGGGCTCACGAGTGCTTCCATTCTCCAAGCCCCGTGGCTGCCCAGAACATGTTTGTCTGCTGCTCCACAGTGGAGCTGGGATGTGGGATGCAGGGCCTCGTGGGGACCAGACCACCCTCCAGCCCCACCGCTCCTTGGCCAGCCACCTCCCCACCGCCCCATCACTGTCAGTCCTGTCTAACCATGATGCCTTAACATGTGGAACGTGCCGTGGGGGCCTCACTAAGCTCTAATTCCCTGTGTCTGCATGAGCATGTGGTCTCCCTGTCCCATACCTGGTGGCGAACCCAGTGATCCAGGGAGGTGTGGGGTGCTGCTGCCGCCCTCCAGCCTACCAGTGCCTGGCCCACCCGCCCCTCCCCTGGCCAGGGATGTGGGGATGGCTCCAGCGGGTTGGGGAAAGCCAAATTGCCAAAAGTCAGTCACCTGAGTACCATCCAGGAGGCTAGGTGTTTTCCTGCCTCTGCCTTTTCTGTCTCGGCAGGCAGCGCCCAGAGCCCACCCCCAAGAGAGCCCTGGAGGGACAGCCTCACCCACCCCGCCTGGGCCCAGCCAGGAGCCCTGCCTGGCCATCAGTATTTATTGCCTCCGTCCGTGCCATCCCTGGGCCACTAGCCTGCCGCCTGTTCCCCCAGGCTCGGTGCCCCACCCCCGGCAGGCCCTCCCTGACTGAGCCAGGAACAAACAAGGGACCAAGTGCACACAGAGCTGAGAGTGTCTCCTGTGCCTCCCCCGCCCACCCCCGGTCTTCATGTTGTGTCTGCTGGGCTCAGGCAGAGGCGCCTGTTCCTGCTTTTCTGACCAGGAAATAAATGTCCCTTAAGGTTAAAAAAAAAAAAAAAAAAAAAGAAAGAAAAGTAGTATAAATACATACTTCAGACTGGATTTTAGCTACTATGGTGAGCAAATGGAGGAAAAAAGACTGATTTTTTCTTTCTGGACCTTCCAAAGGTATTATTTATAATCATTTTTTTCCAGAAGTGACAGTATTTATAACCATTTGACTGTAGGTGTATGAATAGGGATTTTGGAAACTTTCTACTAGATTTCAGTATTGTAGAGACAGGTCCAGAGTAAAATGATTAAGTCCTCAGAGTAGGACTGTTTACTCTGAAGTTTGTAGATGAGTTTTGTGAGGGTCTGAAATTGCATGCAAAATGTTATGTGCAAACATATATCACTCAGGATCCTTGATTGCAAGTGGCAGAAGCTCAGCCAGGATTCACTTAAGTAACAAAGGGGTTTCATGTCAGGGTCTGGGTTTGGCTCATGTAGTTCAAGGAAGGTGGGCACAGCCACGCCTAGGCCAGAATCTAGGGGTTAAGCCTGGAACTTGGAGTTTAAAATAAAAGACAAAAACAAAACAAATTAAAATCTAGGGGTGCCTCACGCCCTGCTAGCTTGAGGACATCTGGTTGGCAGAATCCAAAGCACATCTGAGATCCAAGTTTCAGGAGGACCTAGAAAATGTAGTTTTTAGCTTTCTAATTTCTGTAGGACAGGAAGCACCCTAAAAGAATGTAATCAATCATGGGATTCTTTCTTTTTCCTTTCCTTTTCTTTTCTTTCCTTTTTTTCTTTTTCTGTTTCTGTTTCTCGCCCCCCCCCCCCTTTTTTTTGAGACAGAGTTTTCCTCTTGTTACCCAGGCTGGAATGCAATGTGTGATCTTGGCTCACTGCAATTTCTGCCTCTTAGGTTCAAGCGATTCTTCTGCCTCAGCTTCTCGAGTAGCTGGGATTACAGGCGCACACCACCACACCTGGCTAATTTTTTTGTATTTTTAGTAGAGACGGGGTTTCACCAAGTTGGCCAGGCTGGTTTCGAATCCTGACCTCAGGTGATTCACCCGCCTTGGCCTCCCAAAGTGCTGGGATTATAGGTGTGAGCCATCATGCCAGCCCACGGGATTCTTTCTTTAAGATCCCAAAAAGGTCCTCAAAATCCTTCTCAACTTAACACTGGCCATCAATGGTGCAAAATTGGATCTATTGGTGAAATCTATTTGTCGTGCCTGCTCCATTTCATGTTGCTCCCAGATCTCTTATTTTTGTTAATAAAAATATATGCAAAACTTAGAAATAGGCAAAATGTTGGCCACATGTCCTCCCAATGTCATATTAGAACACCATTTATAGCATATTTTTCTGTAATGGATAACATAACAGTCTGTCCTAGAAAGGCAGACCATAAACTTACAACAAAAACTGCTGCAGCCCAAATTGTTTTAGTACCAACCCATGCAACCAATGCGTTCCAAGATTCAGCAACTTGTGTCGTTTACAAAATCTGACATATGTTCATTCTCTGCCCAGCTCAGTCTTAGAACCATCTGAGCTCAGCCGTCCAACTTCCTTCTTTTGAGTTGCTACTGAGATGTTATAAACTCAGGGCTTTCCCTTACTCAGCAAGTTTAATAAATTTAGCTTTCTGTCATCAAAGGGTGGCTCTGGTGGTCTTTGTGAGGTGCTTTGTCAAAGTCAGTGGGTGCATTGCTGTATAGAAAATGAAGAGAGAGGTTGGGTATGGTGGCTCATGCCTGTAATCCCAACACTTCGGGCGGCCAAGGCAGGAGGATTGCTGGAGTTGAGGAGTTCGAGACCAGCCTGGGCAATATAGTGAGACCTCATCTTTACAAAAAGTTAAAAATTTAGCTGAGCATGGTGGTGTGTACCTGTAATCCTAGCTACTTGGGAGGCTGAAGTGGGAGGATTGCTTGAGCCCAGGAGACAGAGGCTGCAGTGAGCTGAGATTGCATCATTGCACTCCAGCCTGGGTAACAACAACAACAAACAGCAAACAAAAAACAAAAGAAAGAAAAAAGAAAAGCGAAGAGTGGGCAAAAAGGACAAAACAGAAACAACCCTAAATATAACTTGAAGCAAGATTTTGTTAAGTATAAAATTCTTGGAATTAGCAATCAATCAATAAAATTAGCCATTGTCCTTGATTTGAGGAGAGCGGGCCTGTGCATTTGCAGACAGTGACAAACTATGATTGAATGGTGGAAAACTACTATAGAAGAACATTGGGGAAGTGTTGAACCCCAAGTGGCTACAATCTCTCTTCAAACAAATGATCCCCTACCTGCCAAAAACTATGGGATGATTTTTGGTCCCTACCTGTCTACAGTATTTGATGATGTGGATCACGCCCCTCTTAAAATTTTTCTGTAGGCTTTAATGATGCTGTGCTTTCCAGATTATCTTTCATCCTCTCCGATAATTCCTTCTCAATTCTCTCTCTTCAGAGAGAGATCAAGCAGGATAAAAAGTAAGAAATGATCATTGAGTTAGTGATTATGATGCCATCCATGCTGTTAGCAAAAGTCATGGAGCAGAGCAGACAGTAGACAGATTGTAAGGGATAGAAGGAAGGGTAGCAACAGTGCCTGTGGGCCTCTGTTTCTAAAATTTGGAGATCGTTGTTGCTTTTGTTTACTTTGGGTTTTTCTTTCTTTGATTTTTGCTCTTCCCTGTCTGCTTTATTAGTGCCAATTTTCAAGTAGTTAGTGTTCGTCTGCCATGCACAGGAGCTGTTCCTGGAGCTGCTGTGATGCAGAGATGGCAAGTCCCCTCCCCATCCTCCAGGAACAGATATCTGAGGATGAAGAAGAGAAGCCAAGCACAATGGGCATCACCGAAGATGGTGAGTGCCCTGTGAGCCCTGCTATACACTGAATATATGTATCCCTCCCCAATTCCTATCTTGAAATCCTAACTCTCAAGGTGATGGTATTAGAAGGTGGGGCCTTTGGGAGGTGATGAGATCCTGAGGGTGGAGCCCTTAGTGTTTTTATAAAAGGGACCCCAGAGGGCTCACTTGCCTCTCCCACCATGTGAAGACACAGTGAGAAGGTATTCTCTATGAATCAGGAAGGAGGCTCTCACCAGACACAAAATCTGCCTGTGCCTTGATCTCGGACTTTCAGCCTCCAAACTGTAAGAAATAAATTTGTTGTTTGTAAGCCACCCAGTCTATACTATTTTGTAATAGCCACTGGAATGGACAAGGACAAGCCCCCAGGTTACCTGGAGAGATTTGTTTTTAAAAATTGAAGAGACGTGACCATATTTAGATAGGAAGATAAAATCTAGAGGAATGTTAATGTGTGTTCATGTTGGTACTCATTAAAAGTGAACTTTACCACGTTAAGCCAGAGGTATTCATGGTTTTGAAGATTTTAAAGACTATTACAGCAGGAATGCAAAAACAAAGTAAATATCTAACGTTTAATCACCAAAATAGGCTCTGAAACCCGTTTCAGGGGCTGTGGTTGAGAATGAAAACTGTTTCCTCACAGCCTACTAGTTGTATCAACATGCTTTGGCTATCCCAATTCATGATTAGAAAGAGCCTAAATCAATCCCTTACTGTGGTGAGAATTGTACGATTTGAAATTCAGGAGCTCTCTCTCTCAGTAGCCAAGTTCCCTGTGACAAAGAGGGCTTATTAGTTGTGATTGTGTTCAGCTGTAAGCTACGGAAAAAAATAGGCTAAGTAAGAACGGCTTTTCAAAGAGACGTTTATTTCTCTTACCAAGAAAGAATGTGAAACATATAACAAGGCAAAAGGGTGACAAAGTCTTCCAAATGTCACATGACAGCACTGTCCAACAGGCCAGCCCAAGGCTGATTTCATTCCCTAGGAGAATGTACATTTGTTTGACACTTTCTCTTAATTAGGGTTCATGCTCTGTAAACTTACAAGTAAATGTGTAGATTTTTGACTAAGAGTAGTAGAAAGGATAACCCCAAAGGTTATGGCTTTATTGCCCTGTAGGGTAGTAAGGGCTTTGATGCTAACTTAAGCTTGTATCAGCACATTTTTCTTATTTGA